GCTCTCCTGACTAGGACAAGCCACGTTTTCTGGTCAAATTAAAGTTATCAGAGAAAAAAAGAATTTCTTCTTCATTTCTGTTTAGGAGGAATTCAAAAATGCGCTTGTTGATCAAAAAGCAGGACAATAATTTCCGATGCGACAGTTCAAAGACAAAAATCAGTCTGAGCAAAAAACCCAGCTGTCTGTCTGTGTGGCTCTGACAACTGGCTAGTGGAAGAGATTTGGGGACATGTCCTGACCCACACTGCCACTCACAGCTCTGACGCATAGAGTAGCACAATGCCACTCACAGCTCTGTCTGACACATAGAGTAGCACAATGCCACTCACAGCTCTGTCTGACACATAGAGTAGCACAATGCCACTCACAGCTCTGTCTGACACATAGAGTAGCACAACGCCACTCACAGCTCTGTCTGACACATAGAGTAGCACAATGCCACTCACAGCTCTGTCTGACACATAGAGTAGCACAATGCCACTCACAGCTCTGTCACATAGAGTATCATAACGCCACCATGCCACTCACACCTCTGACACATAGAGTATCATAACGCCACCATGCCACTCACAGCTCTGACACATAGAGTAGCATAACGCCACCATGCCACTCACAGCTCTGACACATGAGAAACAATGCAACAGCGCCACGCCAGCACTAGACAGTCCCAGTCGACCGAGGCCAGCCGTAAACTACTTTTGTACGCTCGTAAACTTGATACGTGTCCACATTCTACGGGGCAAGATGCGTGCACACAACAACCAAGGGGAGAGAACCTAGGGGAGAACAACCCCATCCATAAAGTATTCTCAAACTGGCACTGGACACAAGCTGGTCTTAGGCAAAAGCTCAAACGGGATTGGTTGAAAACGAAATCAGGAACCGGCGGAACCAAAGCTCCATTATTATGTCTGGACACTGAAAGCACTCATGATTGCGGAATGCAAATAATTTAAGGACTATGTACATGACTTGCGGCACTAGAAAATACTTCCTTCCACCTGCTCCTGAATATACCAGCAGTGCGTCAATCAAGGCTGCATCTACTTGCTCAAACATCACACACAAATATACAGCACTTCATGGACAATTCACAAAACATTATCATAATAATTAATGAAACTAAATTACTGAAAACTACCAGAACTCGGGAATTTACTCTGCTCTTGATTATAAAAATTGCAGCTACAAACAATACGAAGCACAGATATATATATATTTGTAAGGCAGTGGTATCTACGTATCATGACACAAACTTCACAACAATATTCCAGTTATCTCAGCAGCAGGGGCACAGCCCAGTTCACCCAAACAAAAACAAAAACAAAAAAAACAAAGAAAAAATACTGACAACTGGACACCTTGAACCTGCCATTTAGTCCATCACTTTATTATGGCACACAGCGAAGTACACACCGCGCTACGACACACACTCACACACAGCCAAGTACACACCGCGCTACTTCCTCCCACTCACACACGGGCACACGGCGAAGTACACACCGCGCTACTTCCCCACACTCACACACAGCCAAGCACACACAGCGCTACTTTATACACCCACACACAGCCAAGTACACACCGCGCTACTTCCCCCCACTCACACACGGGCACACAGCCAAGTACACACCCCCACAGACACACACACGATGGCACACTTTAAAACTGACCCAACCATTCACACACACACACACACACACACGTCCCAACACACACGTCCCAACACTCTCACACCCTAAAGCCATCTCCTTGGCGACCAACTAGCACACACAAAACAACAACGATTCTTACAACGCACATACACTGATCGGAGCACGGAAAAGTAAAATATGACACAAAGCTCCCAGCTATTGAAAACATTCACAGTCCACAAATCTCCGGTTCTGTCTTTACCAAAAATGATAACCATATGGAAGAAACAAGACAGAAGTTTCTTCTCTTCTTTTCTGGCTTTCTTTTTTTTCCACACAATAACATTGAACTTTATTTTATATATAATATCACAGGGTTGAACAGAAAGACACAAAAAAAAAAAAACCTCCATAAAATCTGGAGACAAAATTCTTTTTATGCATTAACTCCAAATCCAAACTAAGTTTTCCCACAAAAAAAGGAAAAAGAAATCAGAATAAAAGAAAAGTGTCGATGACATTGAGGAGTGGGGAAAATAAGCACCCTGGTGTTACAGAAACTAAAGGAAATTCCCAATGTTACAGAAATGTGACAGAAATGTACTCCACGATCCACCACATATCTCTTGATCATCACAACACACACGTGTTATTACCATGACCCAGATAATAAATATGGGACGTGGTTCCATGGCATGCACGTAGAAAAACAATCTTACAAAACAAAAAAACACAAAACACAAAAAAAAACGTTGTACATGTTCAGAGCAATCACGACCATTGACAAAGAGGTTTCATAATCTTTAGCACCACACAGAGACATTCCCTCTCTGCACTCTCTTGTGAACACAATATCATAGAGGACAGACAGCTCCTCACCAAATCATATTGCAATACTCCAAAACAGCTGTGTTTTCTGTAAATATAAATTAAAAAACACAAATACACAGTTCACTATTCTAACAAAAAAGTTTGTAGCGAAAATATGGCTTCAGACTGAAAGCAAAGATCTATCATTCATAATATATATAACATATATATACTTCACTTAATACTAAAACAACATTTCTGTATGGCTATAACAAAAAGGTCAGTCAGCTTACAACAACTGAAGACAAGTCTTTACTAACCCTTTGTACTATTCCACTGTTACTTATATTGAACCAGGGACATTTGGAGGGGAGGGGGGGGGGGGGAGCAATAGTCAATGAAACTTCAAATTAAAACTAAGGGCAACACAAAATCTGCAGCCTCATCAAGAACTGAACATTCCTAGGGCGGACTGCGCCACACACAGCTAGGGCAGACTGCGACACACACAGCTAGGGGCGGACTGCGACACACACCTTGCCCGCGAGCACGCTCATCACACAGTCAGAGGCTGGCACATCTCTAGCACTAGGGAGGTGACCAGTTGGACAAGTGACCATTCAAAACACCACGGGGGTCAACTGAGAAACAGAATGAATACACGGCCGTTTTACAAGCGGGGACAGGCAACATGGGCACATCCTAACAAAACATGCACTCATCATTGGTCACTCATCACACGCCACGCATCACTTGTCACTCATCACGCACCATTCGCCACTCATCACATACGTACTTTTGTCACAATATGTCGCGAGTGGGAGGAGAAAGAAAAGAGTAACCGTCGCCGTCCTTCAACACTGTCCTACACCAACATGTCAAGTTTTCAGGAGAAGCAAAAACTATAATTTCATGCAGAACATTATGTTCAGACAAAAAGTACAATCTATCTTTTAATCTGCAAGTGTTATCAAAAGAGGACGGAGACTCCGACCCACTGATGCGTCTTATTACATGTAGACAGTGCAGCCTTACTAATGTAGACAGTGCAGCCTTACTAATGTAGACAGTGCAGCCTTACTAATGTAGACAGTGCAGCCTTACTAATGTAGACAGTGCAGCCTTACTAATGTAGACAGTGCAGCCTCTCTACCACTTTGTCACTTGTAGCTTGTCCTGGGCAACAACATCATTGCACACCGGACAGGTCCACAAAGGTTCCATTTCTCTCAGCACTAAAGCCCGCTACACTCTATAACTTCATACTTGATTCTAACTTTTTCCAAATTTGGACATTTATGTAAAGCGCCTAGAGCTGTGTTTACACTGGAGTGGGTGCTATAGAAATGATCTTCATTATTATTATTATTATTATTAATATTATTGGACAATGTTGAACGACACACACCAAGACACAGCAGTCTCCAGCAACACACCTACACACACGCCGCGCCCAGGAAACCGCTTCTTGGGCCCATTTCATGAGTGACAACTCCGCTCCTATCATTTGACATCCAGCTTACCTCACTAGTTTCTTCTAGGATGAGGTAGGACCCATCAGAGATACTGATATACCAGGGAGGACAGAGAGGGTTTTTGGTTGTTTGAGGACAGAGAGGGTGTTTGATTGTTTGAGGACAGAGAGGGTGTTAGGTTGTTTGAGGACAGAGAGGGTGTTAGGTTGTTTGAGGACAGAGAGGGTGTTTGGTTGTTTGAGGACGGAGAGGGTGTTTGGTTGTTTGAGGACAGAGAGGGTGTTTGGTTGTTTGAGGACAGAGAGGGTGTTTAGTTGTTGTTGACATAAAAATAAAACGTTTGTGAAAGCTGTGAATTATGACCCATAGGACTTGCTGATATTCAAGGGGAAGATAGGGAGGGTTTAAAAAAATGTGCCACAACGTGGTATTTGGTCATGTTGAGTTCTTGGTATCATCTTAAAGATTGTTCGTTTGTCTTGCTTTGATAGAAGAAATTACCTATCTGATCTATCTTAAATAGAAGTCGAAATGTTTGCCATTGCAGGAGGTGGGTTTGCCTAGGTCCAGGAGGAAAATTATCAAGAAAATGACCCCCAAAGTTTGGCGACGTCCATAGCTTGAGAATCCTTGGAAAGTGAACATTTATATTTTTTGCGACTTTATGTCTCTCAGTAAAATCCACACAGAAATGTTTTTAAATGGACAAAAATGGTGATAAGCAAAAAAAAAACCAAGAATTTGAAAAAAATTGCCTAACCTGCTAAAAAAAAGCCGTTTCCTTTGTTTTCATTATTTTGACCAGCGCCTGATTTCACATTGATGCATCACAAATGTCTTTGATGATTTTTTTTTTCAGTTTACATAAAATGATTGTGGGTGCTGTGTGTTGTGTGGGGAGTCATACTTTCCACAACGCTGCCTTGCAATGGTGAGTTGACAGCGTCTCCAAACTAGGAATGAGAACAAGCCACAGCTCTGGTTTAGGGAAGCTACAGAGCCACCAGTAGAAGGGACAGCTTAGGGAAGCTACAGAGCCACCAGTAGAAGGGACAGCTATACAAGTGTCTTTACATGACCATATGGAGTTGCCAGCACCGAAAAGCTCTTGCCAAAACAAGCTTTGTGAGAGAGGAACTAACTCATCATCACCCAGTGCCAGATCTGTGACAGATATCGGCGATCATGGTTCTTCATTCATTCCTTTGCTCGGATGATCTTTAAAAAGCTACGTTTCCCTGATCTTTCCCTGTTACCCATTTGTTTAGGTTCCCCAGGTAGGTTGCTCTGGGCCTACCCCTGCCTCGTTTGCCTTCAATTTCGCCAATGAGTGCTAGATGTTCAAGACCCTTATGTCTATCAGGTGTCCCAAAAGCTGCATTTGTCGTTTCCTGATTGTTTTAACTGTGAGCGTCCCACGTGGGCTTCATCAAGCACTACCTCATTTGATTTCTTTTCCTTCCATGATATTCTGAGCAGTCTCCTAAGAAACCCCATTTCTGTTGCCTCTATTTTATTTTCATTGTCTTTAGTGATTGTCCAGCATTCACAACCATATAGAAGGGTTGACCAAACATAACATTTCAGAACTTTCATTTTGATAGTCATTGACACGTTTCTATTTTACAGGATTGGGCTCAATTTATTGAAACTAGCCTTAGCCATTGTAGTTCTCCATTTTATTTCTGTGGAACATTTGGCATCAGATGTTATTATATATCCTAGATATTAAACTGTTGGACTTGTTTGATCTTTTCACCTTTGCAAATGAAATTACAAATAGGATTTGCTGCTTTTTTGGATATTACCATGCATTGTTTTCTTTACATTCAACACTAACCCTTTACGTGCACTTTCTGTCACAACAGTAACTAGAAGCCATTGAAGGTTTAAATTAGGACCTAATTAAACAAAGTTTTTTTACAAATGACTCTACACGGACCAGTCTATCAGCGAGAAAACTACCAGCTTACAAGCCTACATTTTTTCCTAATAGTATTCAGTCCAATGAGAAAAGCATAAACTGCTTCTTCGCCGTGGTGGGGTATGTCCACCGGGAACACAGACAGGAAAGAAATGTTTTTTAAAAGATAGAAAGCATAGCAGATAGCCGTACGCAACAGTAAGCAAAAGTGTCAGCATAACATTCTCTCTGTGCTTCTCCATCCACAACATAGTTAAAAACAATGTATTCATTCAAGTTTCTCAGTATGAACATTCAATGAAACAAGAAAAATGACATGACAGATGAAGACCAAAAAAAAAAAAAAAATACCCCAAAAAACGTCAGTATAGTGTATTGTCAGAAAATGGTAACATCTAATCATTTCAGTAAGTTGATAAATAAATGACACTGTGCTGTCTCGGCAAAACCATGAGGTCCTCAAAAGTAAGCCCAGCCCTCTAAGGCAATGGCAGCACATCAATGCAAATGTCCAAATGGGCGAGTCAGTAGGCAAAAGGTTGAGAGTTTGTCAAGTGTGCTTGCAAAAAGACAGAAATGTTCAGCTCGGGCCGCCTGCACTCCACCTCCCTCCAACAACAACATCAGACCCGCCACTACTTCCACTGACTGCTGGGGCCAAAAAAAGTAAGATAGAATATATATATATATATAAAGAGACCGGTATTTACAAGAACAAGAATGAGATTCAGAAAGTCGCACAGATAACGTACTCTGGCCAGGCTTCTCTGTCGTCCACCACCACAAACTTTTCGGTCCGGCGAGGGATGTGGAGCAGAAATTGAAAACCGCTACTATCTTGCAAGACGCCAGTTTCTACAAGCTTTCCCCAGGCCAGTTTCTACTTGAAGCTTTCACACCACGCGAGTTTCATTTAATGCTACAATGCAAATCTGAGCAAAGCGCCATTTCAGTTACCGCGGTGACAAAGAAATCTGTCTCTTATCAAACTGTAGGCTACACTGGCGGCGAGTACAAGTGGTGTCCTAACACACATATTTCTTCCTCCCACCCATCCACATGTCAACAGTCCCCATTCCTGGCTGCGACAGAGACAGCAGTGGCCTTCACCTTGGCCTCCACACCAGCTTTGTCCTTGACCTTACCTTGCTGTTGTAGGCCACAGTCGTGCTGCGCTCGTCGCCTGGCCCCTTCCTTGTCCTTGCCCACTATGGAGGACAGATGGTCCTTGAGAGAGATGCTCTTCTTCCCTCCGCTCACACTGACCACGGGCCCCGGTGTCTGGCTCACAGTCTGCTCCACAAAGCTTGAGTTCACCCCTGGCTTCGAGGCCGGGCCTCCGTTATTCTGTGACACAGACACAGTCGCGGGCGGAGCCACACACGTCGTTTGTTGGGGCGTTACCGCACGGCTGTTGGACACAACACTGGGACTTTGCCGCTTTGTCTCTGTGCGACCACCATTACTACCACCACCACCACCACAACTACTACCACTAGCGCCACCATCACTACCACCGCCACTACTACCACCACCACCGTTCACAATTTGACATCCAGAAACACCTACCACGACATTTTCTGCGGAGAGTACAAAATCTCCGCCAGGCTTTTCCCCGACGGCTGCTACTTCTGGCGCCCCCAAGACAACGCCGTCCGATATACTGGCCAGTTTGCCCAGTTCCAGTTCCTTCAAAGCTTGGTTGGACTTAGCCCGCGACTGGCTCGACCTTTTGCTTTTGCTCTTTGGCGGAGGAGGGGGCTGGTTTTTGGCTGCCATGTTCAACTCTTTCTGCTGCTGCACGGCTTGGGCCAGTATCTGGTTGACGGCCGTCATGATGTCCTCCTCGTTCCTCTCACACTCGGGATCCGACGACTTCTTACTCTCACATTTCTTCGACTTGGACTTTGACTTTGACGGAGTTTTCCCCGAGGCGGGGGGCGTGGCTTTGGCCGGGCTGGCCGTGGAGTCGGGGGTACTAGCTGGTGGTTTGTTGTTGGAGCTTGGTGTGCTGGTGGTGGCGGTGTTGCTAGTGGTGGTGGTGGTGGGTGGTGGTGGTGGGGGAGGTAGGGGGAGCACCTGCGAACTGTGGGGTGGGGGGAGAGAGTCCGCAGTGGCCTGAGCTAAAGGAGTTAATGTTGGGGGAGGGTTAGTGACAATTACCTGTCCGGAGGCCGGCTGCTGAGCTGTCTGTGGGGGGGCGGCAGCTGCCACAGCAGAGACCAGATTCTTAGAGGCAGGCGGCGGGCCGGGCTGTACCTGAAGGCCGGGCACGCTGGTGTTGGCTATCAGGCTGACCGAGCCCGAGGTGAGAGGGACCACTGGCTGCACGGTCAGGGCTGTGGTCATGTGCTGCAGCTGGGCGGCCGCAGCCGGGGACAGCTGGTTCTGGTAGCCCTGGGCCACGGGGGAGAGGCTCTGCTGTAGAGCGTTCATGTCCACCACGGGGTTCAGCTGTAGGCCGGGAGGGGGGACCACCGCGTTCATGATGGCCGCCGCGCCCAGGGATGGGGCGGGCTGGGGGGTGGGGCTCTGGTGGAGCGGTAGCGACAGTCCCTGCAGGTTCTGAGCTTGACCTTGGAACTGTTGCAGCATCAACTGTTGGAGCTGGAGCATCTGGAGTTGTTGCTGCTGTTGTTGTTGTTGTTGCTGCTGCTGTTGCTGCTGCTGCTGTTGTTGTTGCTGCTGCTGAACGCTGCCCAAGTTGACGGTGTTCATGACTTGCTGCAGAGCCAGGGGGTTGAACCCGCTGTGGAGGAGGCTCTGCAACGACCCTGGGTCGGCCGCCGACTGTTTGAACAGCTGTTGCAGGCCTGGCTGACCACTCAGCTCGGCGGGGAGGCTGCAGGCAGGGGTGAGCTGACCGGGGGAGGAGCCCAGCACCTGCATCATGGTGGTGGCGTTGGCCGGAGGCAGCACAAACACGGGCTGGCTGGACGCGGAGTACACGGAGGGAGCCCCCGACACAGACACGTTCCCGTCCTTTGTCTGCACCAGACCCCCCGCCGAATCCTGCTTGTCTGACCCCCGTAAACTTTTGGAGAGGTCGCCCAGACGGTGGTCCTGCTTTAGGCTGATCATCCCCGGCTGCGAGACGGCGTTAGAGAGGCAATCTTGAGTGCCGGAAGTCACTGTGAGGGTGGGGAGAGAGACACTACCAAACAGATTCTGGTTGTTTAAGAGAGAGGAGGTGGCTGGGGCCGCTTTTTGTATCTGGCCGGGCAAGAAGGAAGGGGACACCTGCTGGATCTGTTGTCCGCCCTGCGCTAGAATCTGTGCGGCCACAGCGGGGGAGAGTTGGGAGAGAGAGTTGGAGGGGGACATCTGGTGGATGGGGTTCGTGATCAACAGCTGGTTGCTCAGTCCCTGCACCGGGAGCGTGATCTGGGAGCCCTGGCCCGGGTTACTCACCAGCTGGCCTGCTGTCTGGCCGCCGGCGTTCAGCAGAGACGCGCTCTGATTGGCCGCGTTGCTCATCAGTTCCGTGCTCGGATTGGCCGGATTGATCACATGAGTGCCTGGGGGTACGGCGGCAGCGTTGATGAGCTGCGTGGGCGTCCCCGCCTGCGTGTTGACCAACTGCTGCGTGCCAAACATGGCCTGGTTGATGCCCAGCGCCGGTACGACCTGCGCCAGAGACTTGGTCACGTTGGTCACCACCGACACCGACACGGGCGGCATGGGGGTGTTCATGATCATACGGGGGCCAAAGTTGTTGAGAAACACGGGCGGCTCTCCCTGAGGGCCACAGGTGGCCACGGTGGGTCCCAGGCTGGACGGCAGCACGGGCGACATGGAGAACTTGACGTGGGAGCTCAGGTCCTGCTGGGTGTGTTGTGTGCCCTGAGCCACCATGCCCTGAGCCACCAGCGGGTGCACCGAGTGCGGCTGAGACTGCTGCTTCAGCTCCGGCTCCAGGCTGGGAACCACCGACTGCATGGGCTCCGAGGTGTACACCTGTTGGCCTTGCCCGTTGGCGGTCAGGACCATGTTCATGGTCAGATTGGCCGGTGCGGCCACTTGCTGGAACTGCATCATGTTCCCGATCAGAGTGGGACTGGCCCCAACCTGGGCCGACACCGTCGCCGGCTGTTGTTGTTGTTGCTGTTGTTGTTGTTGCTGCTGATGGTGAGTTTGTTGCTGGGAGCCCACTGCGCCACAGGAGACCACGGTCACCCCTGTGGACGTGCTGCAAGCGGAGACAGAACCTTCCACCACCATCCCCGCCTTCCCCCCAACCTCCAGCTTTGCCTGCTGGGACGTGCCCACACAGGTGAGAGTCTGGCTGGCCTGCCCCGCCCCCAGGAACTGTTGGTCCCCCCCGTGCTGCTGCACCTGGTTGTGCTGGGCGCGGGCAGCTGCGGAAAGGAGCGTGCTGGCCGGGAACTCTGTCCCCGGGGCGGCCGCCTGGCCAAGTACTTGCTGCACGGCCGAGCTGAGCTGACCGGGGTCCTTGGTCCCGTACTGCGACAGCACCTGCTGCACCGAGGCAATGTTCCAGTTGTTGGACGCCAGCAGCTGTGACAAGTCTCCGTTCAAAGTGCCGCTGTTCCAAGAGTTGCTGACCACACCATCCTTGGTACAGTCGGCCGGACTGACGTGTGGCGCCGTGGTCAACTCCTTCTTGGGCGCAGGACTCTTGGCTTTGTGCTTGGACCGCACCGTGGCCTTCTTGTCCCAGGGCTTGCTCTCTTTCTTCTGCGGCATCGGTTTGACCGAGGCTGTGCTCACCTGTGAGGAGACAGACTTGGGTATCACAGAACTTTTGGCCACCGTTTCCTCCAGTTTGGCGGGTAAGTGCGGGGGAGCACAACTGGCCGCGGTGTCCAGCTCAGTCTCTTGTTTGACCAGGTCACAAGGGAAATCGTACAGATCAGATTTCAATTTACACTCCCCTAGACTGGAATCGGAGCCGTCCACGGTGTCCGACTTCTCCTGGTCACTCCCGGTCTGGCTAAGATAGGCTGAGTCATTGTTCTCCGTCGTGTCGGAAAAACTTTTGTTGCTGTCCAAATCTGTTCCTGTCTTCAGGTCATCTTCATCTTTGTCCAAACTGTCCGACTTGGAAGCTTCTTCGTTCAAGCTCGCCTTCCGCGCCCCCTTGGAGCCGACAGGCATGGGGTCTATGTCACATGACAAGGCGTCGCTCTCGTCCGTACAATCTTCGGCTTTGACCGCCACATGGTTCGTCTGTGGCGGAGGATTCGGGGTGCTACAGGACATCTGACATAATGCTATCGAGTTGTTGATTATGGCCGTCTGCTGCTCCACAAATACTGTGGGATTTTCAAAGAAGGAAACAGTTGTGGACGGTAGCAAAGGAGATTTAGCAGTTTTGTTGGAAGAAGAGGAACAAGTTTTTGTGCAAGGAGAGCTGCGGTCGACAATGCTATTCAGTTTCTGTTTATCCTTTTTGCTCTTTGGTCGTTTCGACTTTGATTTGCAGGCGTCGACCCAGGAGGTACTTGCAAGTTGCTGATGAGGAGTGCTGTGTTTGGGGAAAGGGGTGGGGTTGGGGTGGCCGCTCAGGTTGGGGTGCTGGAAGAAGCCGTGAGCCGGGTGGTGGTGTGGGGAGGACACGGGGCTCACCGCGCCGGGGCCCGGCCAAGGCACGTGCTGAAAGCTCCCAGGTGGCGCTGAGGGCTGCTGGGGGGTCACGGCCGGGGTCATTGGGTACACCGACTGTGGGTAGAACACATGAGGGGTCGACGCCGATCCTACTGGCCCGGGGGGCTGGCTGGCTAGCGGCAAGTTCACGGGCAGGGCTGTGGGAGGCGGGAGGCCGTCTCTGGGGCTCTTGAGGTGACACGGCAGGCTGTTGCTGCTCATCGACAGGTACGCGTGAGGAGAATGAGCAGGTTTATGGCTCCCCACCGCTGGTGCTTGGGGAAAGAATCGGCTATTGGGAGCGGACCGCAGCGACGGGAACTGCTGCTTGCCAGCGTCCAGTCCCGTTGTGGTCATGGGAAAAGCCTGAGGGTGCGGAGAATGCAGGAGCAGAGAGGAGGGAACTCCAGACTCCGTCTCCATGTCCAGCTGATGGCCAGAGGAGAAGGCCGGCTGCCAGGTGAGCTGAGGCGAGTCCTCCATGAGATCGGTGGACGGGCACGAGCTGGCTCTGGTACTGTGAGAGTTTGCCGGGGACACGGGGGGCTGGGGGGCCAACACTGGCAGCTCTTTCCCACACGGAGGAGACTTGGCGTTGGACGCCGGATCTGTCAGCTGACTGGTCAACTGGGCGCTGCTGTTGAGCGTCATTGCGTGTTTATTCACAGCCTTCGTTATGCTCGTCTTCAACTTCTTTGGTGGCGCAACAATCAGCCCGTCCAAACTGCTGGAAGATTTTTTTCTGTCCCGTTTCTTGCCCATAGACTCAACTAAATCTGAAATTTTAAAAAAATGATCCAATAAATAAAAGCATAGATAGCTAATGAACGAACGGAAAATTTTGAAACAGAGGAAATTGTCTCAGATCCATTTGTCAAACAGAACAGTGGTTGTCTTTGACAGGAAGACCACTCACAATGTCATTATAATGTTTTTGAAAACGCAGTGGGGGGGGGGGGGGGGGGAAAGAGTAGTACAGGTGGCAGTTAACCCTATCCATACGCCCTGGGGTCATTCTGTATCCCCAGGGTTGTATTCTTCACATTTTAGAATACTTCTAGTACGAAGATTTCATTGAAACTTTCAGTATTTCTCAAAAAATCATTTTGACAGACTGCAGTGCAAAGCGTACGGATCAGATTAACGAGTAAATTTCCTCTCTGGAAAGCGGTGGCACAGAGTCCCCCACGTCGTATACAGATACGATATGATGGTAAAACACGACGAACGGAGACGGTTAAAGCAGGATCAACTGTAGTTTGTTAAACACACAGAGGAGCACATTAACAAAGTAACAAAAGAACAGCTGTTCCGAGCTGGGAGAAAAAACACATCACCACAAAAACAGACATTATATCTATAGAAAAAAAGTAGGATTCCTTACTGGCACCACAGGTAAGATTCCCTACGGGCACCACAGGTAAGATTCCCTACTGGCACCACTAGTAAGATTCCCTACTGGCACCACAGGTAAGATTCCCTACGGGCACCACTAGTAAGATTCCCTACGGGCACCACAGGTAAGATTCCCTACTGGCACCACAGGTAAGATTCCCTACTGGCACCACAGGTAAGATTCCTTACTGGCACAACAGGTAAGATTCCCTACTGGCACCACAGGTAAGATTCCCTACTGGCACCACAGGTAAGATTCCCTACGGGCACCACAGGTAAGATTCCCTACTGGCACCACAGGTAAGATTCCCTACGGGCACCACAGGTAAGATTCCCTACTGGCACCACAGGTAAGATTCCTTACTGGCACCACAGGTAAGATTCCTTACTGGCACCACAGGTAAGATTCCTTACTGGCACCACAGGTAAGATTCCCTACTGGCACCACTAGTAAGATTCCCTACTGGCCAGGGTTGGTGATTTTTTTATTTTTTTTTATTTTATTTTTTTTAATCGATTTTTTAAATTTAAATCAAGATTTTTTAAATTTAAAACAGATTTTTTTTTTTTTTAATGTCGACAGTTTGGGATTTTTGGTTGCTAAAAGTATGTTCTTTTAGTGCAAAATGCATTGCCTTTATTTTAACTAATGATGAATTTAAGCAACTGCGAAAGAAAGCCTTAATCTGCTATATATATATCAGTGAATTATGGCTACAGACAAAAAATGAAGAAAATGTCAGTCTAAAAGGAAGGGGGGGGGGGGGGGGTGTAATTATGCATAGATAAACTTGCATTTTATTACAGTGTGTGTGTGTGCGCGCTTGTGTTTGTCTAAAAAGAAAAAGAAAATGTTAATTTCAATAATAAACTGTATTATTTTACAGTGACAGAGGGGAAAGCAGACTTTTAAGCATGATTATTTAGTCTACTAAACCTTATATACTGTTTTATAAAACCAAGAAAAGGAATTCTGAATATTTAAAGATGTAAAAACAGAATACATTTTTAAAAACTGATTTAAATCACTGAGTTTTATTTTTAAAATCAAGTTGATTTAAATTTTTAAAAATCAAGTGATTTAAATCGACCTGATTTAAATCAACCCTACCCTGCTTTCAATTATGAAAAAAAAGTCAATTGAATACTGTATTATTTTACAGTGACAGGGGGGAAAGCAGACTTTTAAGTATGATTATATTAGTCTACTAAACCTTATATCTGTTTAATAAAACCAAGGAAAGGAATTCTGAATGTTCAAATATGTAAAAACTGAATACATTTTTTAAAAAGTGATTTAAATCACTGATTTTTATTTTAAAAGTCAAGTTGATTAAAATATTTAAAAAATCAACCGATTTAAATCAACCCAGCTCTGATTTCAATTATGGAAAAAAAAGTAATTTGAATACTGTATTATTTTACAGTGAAAGGAGGGAAAGCAGACTTTTAAGCATGATTATATTAGTCTACTGAACCTTATATCTGTTTTATCTAACCAAGGAAAGGAATTCTGAATGTTGAAATGTGTAAAAAACTGAATAAAAATAAAAAATTTTAAAGTGATTTAAATCACTGATTTTTATTTTAAAAATCAAGTTGATTTAAATTTAAAAAATCAACTGATTTAAATCAACTCAACCCTGCTACTGGCACTGGCACCCTACAACTTATTGAAATCATTGCAAAAATCCAGAACCTGGAGAACAAAAACTTGGAAGTTCACAACCCTTTTGTGAACAACAGACTCAATTAGAGACTCAATTGAATTTTTTATTTTTGGGGGGGAAGGACAAAAGTAAGTCACGTTCCTGACATTCTGCTGTTGATGAGATAAGATCAGATTACATGAGATGAAATTATTTTCAATATGATCAGAAAAAATTTTTTTTTAAAATAAATAGACAAAATAAGTTAAGACATGAAATGATATATATGAAAAATTGAAGGAACCTTCAAAATTTATAACATAATAAAACTAAAGCTGCAACTTGCGACAAAATAGGCGATACAGTCGAACCTGTGTAAGAAGGAATCACAAGTTAGCCAGAAAAAAAAGGGAGCAGTTTTTCTTTCCGTTTCCGCGTCGGACAGGTTTCCGTTGTATAAAGGTAATTAAAGAGGAATATATCAAGAGGGAGGTGGGGAGATTCCGTTAAGACAGGTTTCCGTTAAGGCAGGTTCGACTGTACATGGACATAAACTTACCTGAACTCTCCACAGCCTCAGCACACGAGTTGTGGAATGCCGCCATGGCAAGAATCTCCCTGCGGTGGTTACATAAACTGGCCAGGTCCTCTTCCCCCGAGACTGAGCTCCACGGCTGGTTCCCGACCTCCGGGTCGAAGCTGAACAAGTTGTCCACCTGCACGGGGCACTCCAGGCCGCACTTACAGGTGGAGTCACTCAGCAGGTACACGCACACCTGCTCCAGGGACCTCAGCTGTACACCGCTGGGGCTGGACAACAACACAAGGAGGTTTTTTAGTTTAGCAGAGGTTTTTACGGCGCTTGCAACTGCATAAGGTCATATGAGCAAAAAGGGGTGGATGTCAACAGAGAAGTCCTTGCAGGGAATCAGACTTACTCTGCTCACCTCTCTAGCTGCAACAGCACAAAGTCTGCTTCAACTATCAAGGCATCCCCGAAATATCGGGTCACAAAAAAGAAGTAGAGGAAAATGACGATAGTAAGGATTAGGAAAGAAAAAGCAGCAGTTCCCTGTTGCAGTTGCAGTTTAGAATGACCTAAAGACACTTCAGTCAGTGGCACCGCCCCGGGGGGTACACAAAGTGGGCGTGTTACCTTTCTCACAAACATACACAACTAGGCACGTGTTACCTTTCTCACAAACATACACAACTAGGCACGTGTTACCTTTCTCACAAACACACAACTAGGCACGTGTTACCTTTCTCACAAACACACAACTAGGCACATGTTACCTTTCTCACAAACACACTACTAGGAACGTGTTACCTTTCTCACAAACATACAACTAAGAACGTGTTACCTTTCTCACAAACATACACAACTAGGAACGTGTTACCTTTCTCACAAACATACACAACTAGGAACGTGTTACCTTTCTCACAAACATACACAACTAGGAACGTGTTACCTTTCTCACAAACATACAACTAGGCACGTGTTACCTTTCTCACAAACATACACAACTAGGCACGTGTTACCTTTCTCACAAACATACAACTAGGCACGTGTTACCTTTCTCACAAACAAACACAACTAGGCACGTGTTACCTTTCTCACAAACATACAACTAGGCACATGTTACCTTTCTCACAAACATAGTACACACAACTAAGCATGTGTTACCTTTCTCACAAACACACAACTAAGCACATGTTACCTTTCTCACAAACATAGTACACACAACTAGGCACGTGTTACCTTTCTCAAAAACATACACAACTAGGCACGTGTTACCTTTCTCACAAACATACACAACTAGGCACGTGTTACCTTTCTCACAAACACACAACTAGGCACATGTTACCTTTCTCACAAACACACAACTAGGCACATGTTACCTTTCTCACAAACACACAACTAGGAACGTGTTACCTTTCTCACAAACATACAACTAGGAACGTGTTACCTTTCTCACAAACATACAACTAGGAACGTGTTACCTTTCTCACAAACATACACAACTAGGAACGTGTTACCTTTCTCACAAACATACACAACTAGGAACGTGTTACCTTTCTCACAAACATAGTACACACAACTAGGCACATGTTACCTTTCTCACAAACATAGTACACACAACTAAGCACGTGTTACCTTTCTCACAAACATACAACTAAGCACGTGTTACCTTTCTCACAAACATACAACTAAGCACGTGTTACCTTTCTCACAAACACACAACTAGGCACATGTTACCTTTCTCACAAACATAGTACACACAACTAGGCACATGTTACCTTTCTCACAAACATAGTACACACAACTAAGCACATGTTACCTTTCTCACAAACATAGTACACACAACTAGGCACATGTTACCTTTCTCACAAACATACACAACTAAGCACATGTTACCTTTCTCACAAACATAGTACACACAACTAGGCACGTGTTACCTTTCTCAAAAACATACACAACTAAGCACATGTTACCTTTCTCACAAACATACACAACTAGGCACAGGGTTGGTGATTTTTTGATTTTTTTAAAAATAAAAATTTTAAAAATCGATTTTTAAAAATTTAAATCAAATTTTTTAAATTTAAATCAGATCTTTTTGATTTAAAAAAATTTTCTTTAAATGTCGACACAGTTTGGGATTTTTGGTGCCAAAAAGTATGTTCTTTTAGTGCAAAATGCATTGTCTTTATTTTAAATAATGATTAATGTAAGCAACAGCAAAAGAAAGCCTTAATCTGCTATATCACTGAATTATGGCTACAGAAAAATGAAGAAAATGTCCGTCTAAAAGGAAGGGGGGGGAGGGTAATTATGCATAGATAAACTTGCATTTTATTACAGTGTGTGTGTGTGTGTGTGTGTGTGTGTGTGTGTGTGTGTGTGTGTGTGTGTGTGTGTGTGTGTGTGTGTGTGTGCGTGAGTGTGTGTGCGCGCGCTTATATTTGTCTAAAAAGAAAAAGAAAAAGCTAATTTCAATTATCAAAAAAAAGGACATTGAATTCTGTATTATTTTACAGTGACAGGGGGGAAAGCAGACTTTTAAGCATGATTATATTAGTCTACTAAACCTTATATCTGTTTTATGAAACCAAGGAAAGGAATTCTGAATGTTTAAAGATGTAAAAACAGAATACATTTTTTAAAAAGCGATTTAAATCACCGAGTTTTATTTTTTAAATCAAGTTGATTTAAATTTAAAAAATCGACCTGATTTAAATCAACCCAACCCTGATTTCAATAATGAAAAAAAGTAAATTGAATACTGTATTATTTACAGTGACAGGGGGGAAAGCAGACTTTTAAGCATGATTATATTAGTCTACTAAACCTTACATCTGTTTAATAAAACCAAGGAAAGGAATTCTGAATGTTTAAATATATATGTAAAAACTAAACACATTTTTTTTAAAGTGATTTAAATCACTAATTTTTTTTTTAATCAAGTTGATTAAAATTTAAAAAATCAACTGATTTAAATCAACCCAGCTGTGATTTCAATTATGGAAAGAAAAAAAAAATTGAATCCTGTATTATTTTACAGAGAAAGGGGGGAAAGCAGACTTTTAAGCATAATTATATTAGATCTAGTCTACTAAACCTTATATCTGTTTTATGAATCCAAGGAAAGGAATTCTGAACGTTGAAATATATGTAAAAACTGAATACAAATAAATTTGTTAAAAAGTAATTTAAATCACTGATTTTTATTTTAAAAATCAAGTTGATTTAAATTTAAAAAATCAACTGATTTAAATCAACCAACCCTGACTAGGCACATGTTACCTTTCTCACAAACATACAACTAGGCACGCTACTCGGGCTGGACGACAACACAAGGTGGGCGTGTTACCTTTCTCTCAAACATACAACTACTACTTGGAAGTAAACCAGGTTTTTAAAAAAATAATTCATTTCTTTCTCCCCCCCCCCCCCCCACCAAATGTAGGTGTTTTTACACCCCATTGAGAAAATTTAGATATTTAGAAGGCAGGCCTTCAACCCTGCCTGTCATGCCCAACCCAGACTGGGAGGAATAAAATAAAAAACATCCAAAAATGAAAGACCAAGATACTGAATCTATAAAAATTTCTCCCCACTCGGTAATCAAACTGAAATCTCTGCACACACCACAGACACCAGTAAAATATGAACAATAATAATAAATAAAGATCACTTCTTTAGCGATCACTTCATGGTGGCAATTGTAGCTCTAGGCGCTTCTCAAATTATTTTTTTTTTAAGATTAGTACAATGAACATTTCAATCACACTTCATACTGGTCAATTCATCAATCAATGTACAAACAATAATTTCTATCCTTACTCCAGTTACTTCACAATTTTGAGCAGCACAAGGACGTGACAGCAGCCATTATGATTTTCTGTTAAGTACCGGAGAAAAAAAACCCACAATACAGACAGAAACAACAAAAGGACAGTTTAAAAGAAGTTCTAACACCCCTAACCATGATAAAGTGCCATGATAGAGAGAGAGAGAGAGAGAGAGAGAGAGAGAGAGCAAGAGAGAGAGGGAGAGAGAGACAGGGAGAGAGAGATAGAGAGATTAGTTTCAGTGAGAGTTTTATGACACATTGACTTGTGATTGCAACACGATAAGATCATATTAAAAAACGCCGAAGATCAGAGTCAAAGATCCGAGTCAGAGATCCGAGTCAGAGATCCGAGTCAGAGATCCGAGTCAGAGATCCGAGTCAGAGATCCGAGTCAGAGATCCGAGTCAGAGATCCGAGTCAAAGATCAGAGTCAAAGATCAGAGTCAAAGATCAGAGTCAAAGATCAGAGTCAAAGATCCGAGTCAAAGATCAGAGTCAGAGGCATTACAAAAAGAGTAACAAACACACACAAAAGGAGTAGAGATCAGGACGGCAGATGATTGACAGCAAAGAAGGAGCAAACCACAGCAGAACGCACCCACCAACCACCTGCAGAGAGAGCCAGACAGAGAGAGAGAGTTAGTCCATGCCCACAGACTGTTTGGGTAAGCGTGTGAGCGCCAGAAGATTAGCGGTGTTACAAGAGAGTAATAAACATAAAAAAGAATGAGGGGAGATAGGAAGATAGATGTTTGAGAGGAAAGGAGCAAACCACACCAGAGCACCTGCCAACCAACTACTGTCCTTGTGTATGTGTGTTATTGAATATGAATGGAATTAGTGGATTTCTGAGCCTCTGACCTCTGTGTTAATGCTGACCTCTGCTTGTTACTGTTCTGGAATATATTATTAATTAATTTTATATATCCTCCGAAAATGTTCTTCAAAGATCAATAAAGTTTGCCTTATCTCATCTTATCATTTATGAGCCTTAGTTCTGACAATCACAGTTGAGTGGAGAGTGAACGGTCAGATCATCTCGCCCACCACCGCCAATATAAGGGGGGAAAACAATTAGGCCAGCCTAGGCAGGTGTTTTTGTAGCATGCTCATGGCTTGATCACTAAAATAGTTTAACCACTTTAATTTAATCATAATGGGAGTTAGAGATCACAACAAAGTCGTAATTCTGCATGAGAAAAAGGTTTGGAACAAATTTCGTCCCTTCGATATTTTGGTCGTTTCAAAAGTAGTGGATGTGAAAGATGTCGGAGTCATTGCTCTTGCCATGGACCGTCTTCCTCCCTCCCAACAAACATCTGTGGTATCTCAGCAGTTCGGTGCTTCCCTGGCGCACACAGAGGACCTCCGTCTGATCAGACGGGGAGAGAAATTTTAACGAACATCTCCTCCTTTCTGCCGAGACATTTTGTATCTCTCTCATCCCCAGCTAGCCATGACAGGCAGGGTCGAAGCCCGTCTCCAAAATTATCTGGGTCAATGGTGGAGTAAAACTTCTACAACTCATTACATATATATATTCTCCCTCCCATGAAATGTCAACAAAAGAAGATTCACTTGTATTTGGAAATATTCCTTAGAGAATTTATATTATAACAAAACGACCAATAATCAAAAGAAGTCTAAGATGAAACGGAAAGAGGAAAAAGTAAAAATAAGAGACATACCTTAAGTAGACCACGCAGCCATTATCCAGCTTCCTCTGCCAACTGAAAGGAATCTTAACCCGTTTTGATCCCTCCTTTGCCTCTTGCGTCTTCGAAGACTTACAACTGTTTGCCGACTTCCTCCCACTGTTGTGTCCCCCTTGTACACAGGGTGCCACTGGCGGCTCCGAGGCAGAGCTCAGGGACATTTCTTTAGCACTGGGAGTGGTGGCCATGACAAACGTGGGCGTGGTGCTCATCGAGTGACTGCTCAGGGCAATGGTTGTGGTCGCTGTCACAGGCGATGGTGAGGAGGTGGTCACTTCCACAACCAGCGAGGTTGATGTTGTTGTAGTTGCTGTTTTCCCCAGAGACTGAGGTGGAGGGGGAGGAAGGGGAGGCTGACAAGTTTTAGCCGGTGACAAGTCTGGTGTACACGAAGAGCCGGGAGTTGGAGGTGGGGAGGAGGGTGGTGATGAGGACGATGACGTGGACGACTTAAAAGCTTTTCTCGGCTGACCCTGGTCCGAGGGGACTTTGGAGAACTGAGAAACTACAGGGGATAAAGTGGATTCAATGCTGTTAGGAGGGGTCAGAGTGTAGGGTGAGGAAGAAAAATTGGAACATTCCGAGGAAGACCTGTCTAGTGAGCTTCCAGTGGAGGAAGTGTGAGCCAGCGACTTGGCTGTCGTTTTATTGCCTGCAGAACCTGCATGTTGGTTCCGTTGAGGCAATGAGCGTTTGCTGCTCACACACTGGGGCGTGCTCACCACAGACTCCTTCCCAGCACAGGTTTTGACAGGATGCAACGATTCCACCGAGGAACTGAAAGACGTCGATTCTGGTTTACCTGGAAACTGCTTGGGGAATGTTTCACAGTGGGGTAACGAGTCCAGCGTCACAGTAACTTTTGGGGGCCCCGTCTGGGCAAACGTCACGGCTTTGGACAATTGTTTCACGGTGGCGGGGGAGGGGAGAGGCTGCGATGATAAGGTTGAAGATGGCAGAGAAGAGGAGGATGATGATAATGATGACGACGACACGCAACTGGCAGCGATGACCGTCGGAGACATGGTAGCCCCGGATGAGGAGGGAAATGCTACAGACTTTGGCTGCTGGCACGAGATTTGTAAAGGCTGGTCGGGCGCCTGCTGGGTCAAGGTCGACATCTGTACCGCAGTCACGGGAAGTGGTTTCTGCTGAGGCTGTTGCATCTTGATCATCTGAAGGCCAGGCACGGCTTGCAAGCTAGGACCTGTGGTAAATGGCTGGGGGGAGGGTAAGGGTTGTTGGAAATGATTGGAAAACTGATGCTGTTGGGGGAACGGGCTCATGTGCTGGGCCTGCTGTTGTTGCTGTTGCTGCTGCTGAATAATACCCACTTGCTGCTTCTGCTGTTGAAACTGTGACCACAAATGTCCGAAGGAAGGAAGGGTGCTTTGACCAGCGGTGGCTCCCTGGTTCCCTACAGTAGCAGCAGTCACCTGCTGAGGCTGCACCCAGTTGTGAATGTGTTTCGTGTAGGTGTACACGTTCCCCCTCATCCCCGCACTCTGACCCTGTGCGTCCACACTTTGTAAACTCTGATCCACAAACCCTGAGTTGCCCACCATGTCCACCCCGATGATTGCCTGTTGCATGCCCAGAGCTGTGCCATCCTGTTGTTGGACTAACCGGCCGTCCGGCGTCTGGATGATCTTCAACCCTCCGGACTTGTGGTGCGGATAGATCATCCCGTCTAGGCCACTGATCACGTGGATGGAGCTCCCGTCCACGTTGACGGGCACCCCGTGTTTGACTAGCTGCTGCGGCACTAGGCCCGGCGGGGGAAAGCCTGCAGCCTGCAGCCCCCCGGCCATGCCCATCGGATTAGTCTCTTCCTGCGGTGGCGGCAGGAGGGAGTTGTTGCCCGCGGGGGCCCCGCCAGCGAACTGGAGGTGGTACACGTTGGACGAGGACACCGCTTGTCCATACTGTTGCTGAAATAACTGCTGCTGTTGCTGCTGCTGCAGCTGTCGCTGCTGTTGTAAGTGTAGCTGAGGAGCGTTGGCCAACCCATGACTGAACGAATACTGCTGCTGGGGGTTCTCATAGTTCATTGTTGCCCGCAAGCCTGTGACATAGAAGCGAGGGGCATAACCCTAAGTGGGAGCTAACACGGCTTTCTCAGGTCCCCGAAAACAGGCGCCATGTTGGGAAGCAGGATCGTCGTTCTCACACGCGCAGTGCTCCTGGCCCATGATGTGTCATGGCACTTAGACAAACTGGCAAAGAGCGACTTGAACGTCTTCGGCCAAATGGTCTAGAGGAAGAAACAAGAACACAAACAATATGACGATCACATCAACTACTGATTCACAAAAAGGTAGAACACAAATAATATGAGAATCACATCAACTACTGATTCACAAAAAGGTATCAATATGAAAAAATAAATAAACCAACACTATCTGCATTAGCCTACCTCTGCAGGACATTCAAAGAAAAAAAAAAGGGGGGGGGGGAGAGTTCTTGAACCTCTCATACGTATATTTTTATAGGCCTAGTTAAAAGAAATCCTGACCACAATAATAATGCTGGGGTTGAAGGTTTTTGGATTTTTTTATTAATTTTTTTTTTTGGAGGGAGGGGTGGTGTTAAGTCAGTAAGTTTCTTTTTACTTTTAGCATCGCCTAGTACTGAACTTGCTGTGGTGTCACCTGTGGTCGTGGTTCTGACATCCTCAAACAAGACAGCAGCCAGTGCTAGTCATTGCACACACCTGCCAACCACTCCATGACCCAAAATACAAGTTTTCCTCAGAATCCTGCCCTACAATCTGAGTTTGGGAGGTTCAAAAACCCCCACAAGAACAAAGAACCAGATGTCTCCAAAAACCTAGTGTAGATCCAAATTATGTTACAAACCAACCATGGCAAATAAATGTGTACAGCAAATACATGTCTAAATAATATATGTACAAATAAATCATGTGTGTATAGTATTAGTAAATACATGCCTACATTATATGTACAAATAAATCATGTGTGTATAGTTGTATTAGTAAATACATGCCTCTATACACACAAATAAAAGCAAATAAAATGTGTATTTTCACGTCAAATACAATAAATTGCACATGACCAAAGGCAACAGAATTCAAAACAGAAAATTATTACATCTGGCAAAACTGATCGGAGTTTTTCCATAAGGTCCAAAGGCTCCAGTTTAGTTTTTAGTTTTAATTTTAATAAGTGTTTTGTATGGTACTTGCATCACAATAAAGTCATACAAGTGCCGAAGATTAGAGATGTTACAAGAAAGTAACAAACACAAAAAAGGAGGGGAGCTAAAGACGATAGACATTTGATAGGAAAGAAGAAGCAAACCACACCAGAGCCCCCGCCAACCATCCACGGCTCCAGTTTGATCAAAGCACTTGCCGGCAGGCCTGTCACTGAGCCACTGGTACTCACTGACTCCCAGATCTCCACTGTTTGTCCACTCGTCTTGATCTCAGCGATGGCTCTACCGCCCTATTTGTTGATCTACTGTCAGGTCAAGAGCAGACACTGACAATCATGGTACCACACTCCGTCCTGTCGTCTGTCTCTGTTTTCCTGATCAGCTTAATTTTTCCTCATTGAGTTTTTTGTTGTAAAGTTGTTCAGGCCATCTGTGTATGTCGGTCTCTATTTTCCTCTGTACTTCTTTCTCTCTATCTGTCCCTACATTACATCTACCTTACTATCTCATCTTTATCAACAAGTCCTACCATCCTGGTAGGTGGCTGGCACGTGCTCTGCTGTGGCTTGCTCCTTCTTTCCTATCAAGAAAACATTTATCTCTCCTTTTTTTTGTCTGTTCCTCTATCGTGGCACCTCTAGTCTACAGCACAAGACTTAATCTTGTTGCAATTGTCATAAAATTCTTTATTGTTTCAGGAAGCAACATCCCTGCACTCCGGACATGTCCATCGATACTCCGTTGCTCTCTCCAAAATGTCCCCGACGGTCTTTCCACTGATTGTGCCAGTGCATATCTGGTAGAACATTCTTCTGTTCTTTCCTGCAAGGATGCCAGATTTTCCGCTTCCTTTTAGTATTCCCAAAAGCATTATCCTCCCCATGGCAGTTCTTACTAGAACTAAACTACATTCCTACATTTAATCAGTCTACAGCCTGCCTCATGGTGTGAAAGCTCATCTCCTCATTTGAACTCAAAAGCCACAATAATGGATCAGGACCCAGATGGTAGACCAGGATATGAGGCAAGCTCTGCCTTGTCCACTGTCCCCTACATCATGTTGTGTGACATTTGTATTATCATGCGTGAACCTCACTGTCCTAAATTATTTAACCCTATCCGTATGTCGTGTTTTACTATCGTATCCATACGACATGGGGAACTCTATGCCACCACTTAACCCTATCCGTACGTCGTGTTTTACTATCCTATCCATACGACCTCAGGAAATCTGTGCCACCACTTTCAAAGAGGAAATTTACTCGTTATTCCGATCCACACATTTTGCATAGCAGTCTGTCAAAATGATTTTTTGAGAAATAGTGAAAGTTTCAGAGATATCTTTTTACTAGAATTATTATAAAATGTGAAGAATACAACCCCAGGGGTACAAAATGACCCAAGGGCGAACGGATAGGGTTAACAACTACACTACAGTAGTCTCCAAATAAAAATCCTAGTGTTTGGGAGCTAGGAAAACATAGGATCTGAACCACTTCATCATAGGGAGAATCCACAGTGACTTATTACTTATGTCAGGCCCACAGTAAGTAAAATTGTCTCTCCTTACTTTGAAGTGAACTAATGTGACCCTGAGTGGGTTTATAACGTTGACCAACCACAATGGCATGAAAATGCCATTTTTGCAAGACTTATCCAATCATGAGTCTCAAGACAGAGACCTACATCGATCCCATTCCTCTCCTTCACCATCATCATTGCTTTTCTCACTCTGGATCAGGATCATATATATAGTCCACGAACAAACACTTTCCACCTTTTCCTATCCAGGGCTAGTCGTATGATGTCACTCCATGTCTTCCCACTTTTCTGTACATCCATTTCAATGACTCCTCACCAGGTTCCATAGTCTTCCCCTTGATCTTTTACCCTGTGGGTTCCAATCTAACACCCTCTCCTTAACCTATCCAAAATGTCATGTATAGCTTTCTCCATCTCTGATCAAGTTTCCCGCTCATGTCGTAATGAACAATCACGTTGTAAACGCATCAAATAAAACCCAGTCTGTCTAGCAAATTCCAACGAAAGGCTGGACATCTTGTGATTTATGCGCGATGGTCAGGGCAGAAAAAACATCTCTACGAGTTCAAAGTTCAATTTGATCTCGCCTGATCTGGAAGGCCCTACCAATCTAGTATGTGATTTCCATTCAGGCGGACAGCTCATGCAAATGCGAGTGCGATAAGGAAAACATAATGTCAATGAGTTTACACCCAAGTGGGATCCTATCTATGGCACACTTTGTACCCACTCATCAAGATTTAAACAGAGAAATCATGTGATCACATTCACAAGATTGGACAAAGATGATCTGTAACAAAACTTGCAGGACTAGGACAATGATCGTAAATTTTCTCTGCTTGGTCAATCAGCTGTGTCGCCCAAGCTTTTAATAATAATAATGAGATTATTTCTACAGTGCCCACACCCGTGTGAACACAGCTCTAGGTGCTTTACAAAAATGCATGTACGAACAATATTCACAAACACACACACACACACACACGCACACACACACACACACACCTACTTGCTTCATGCACACGCTTACAAATCGTTACGAAAAGAATACATACAAATACATAAAGCACAAACAAATAACATACAAATACATTTATAAAGAATGATCAGAAATGCAAGATGGGTCTTAGGGTGACTTGCGAAACAAAAATTCTGTTTTCTTAACACTTTCTTTGCCACCACAAGGCTCATACATAGTTAAAAACCCTTGCCATCAAAGGCAAAGGCATTTTGGGGAAAATCCAAAGAAGCTGGATGGTAAACATCGCCGCCGATCGGCGAGAATTGACGGCAAAGTGTTAAAGGCCAGCTCTTTTCGGACTGGAGTCCGATTAGATTTTTTATCTATTCGGCAAGTCCGAATATGGGTTTTATCTATTCGGACTCGGGTCCGAAAAAGTGTTTTATTTATTCGGACTCGGCTTCTAAGTGAGTAAATATGAGTGTAATAAGGAGGTTACATAATATAATATATCAGGGTCTTTCCACCACCACCATAGCATCATCATTACTTCCACCACCATTTGTCTTTCCGTGTGTACAATTTCATTTTTTTGGACAGCCGTGGCCTCTTCCCACAGCAAACCGAAAGTGTGTGATCGCTACCCGCAATCTCATTGGTAGATATTTAATTAACTTTGCCCCAGACTAGGTCAACTCAACTTGGTTGTTCCGTTCACTGATGCAAGGAGGGCCAGTTTAGATAGATCTAGTAACTGGACTTTAAAGCTCACGTCTCGACTTTTATCATTATAATAGAAAAAAAATTCATAAATGTTGGAAATATTTAGGAACAAGGGTAGGAAGTTGGAAGGGATGCCATGCTGGACTCATTTCAGAGTCCGAATATAATTTTTGTCTATTCCAATAGTAACTTCGTTTCTTAAAACAGTGATATCGGAGACTACTGAACTACCTCTACTTGGACTTGGGGGTGGGGGGGGGGGGCACATATTTTTGGCTACAGAACCCACAGTCACTATAATCATCGCAAAATTAATTTCAATGTCAATAAAATCTCCAACCTAGCAGCAAGATAGCAAATTATGGGGAAATACTGAGAAGAGGGGGAGAAGGGAGGGGGAGAAGGGAGGGGCAAACCCCCTCCCCCTGGATTCCTCCCTCCACAGATTTTTTTAATGTATATCCCAAAATACTATGCAGTTAGGTTATGCTTCCTAGTGTATTAAAATTGAGTTCTATTCAATAAAACAACCATCCAATAGGTCAAAAACTGGAAGGAATTCCGCAGAACATCTGTGATCTAGATCTAGCCTAACCCTAATCTTACCTTAACCCTAACCCTTGTTATAATTTTCTCATGGTAAGTGTGGCGAGCTCCTCCGCAAAAACTTATAATCTGACAAATAGGCGATTAAGCCTCTCTATGCCAATTATAATGCCGCTTACAAAATTAAACAAAGTGAACCAGAAAACTGGAGTATTATCCCAGGGCATGAGACAAGGGTGAAAGTAAAATATATACCTTTGTTGACCCTTAGTTAGGCTTAGCCTTAGCAGTCAACCTAGGCTACTTAACTAACTAAACTAAGATATATAATCTATATGATATTATAACATAAAAATCAGTCAAGAGTATAGACTATACATTCTAGTATAGATCTAGATTTAGATCTAGTCTAGTCTAGATCTAGAATTCTAGATCCAGTATTTTAAAATCAGTTTTGATTTACTTATTGAATGAATCAGTGTGCATAGGAAGGAGGGCGCCTAGAATCCTAGAATCTAGATCTAGATCTAGATTTCTAGATCTAAATCCTAGGCTATTGACAATTGAACCCTAGAGAATAGACATGGGTGTAGAAAGTTCTCATCATCCTGGTCCTGGGTACCAGGGTACAAATCTAATCTCGTACTCCGGGAACCACAAGCGTACGCAACGACCGGAATGATATCATGCCAGTCAGAAGCGCCCAAATTCCCAGACTAAAAATAATTGTAAAAAGGTAAGACCGTAAGTGTAGATCTAGAATCTACATCTAATCTACTATCATATTTACTTGGAAGCCAAAAAAGAAAGCGTAATAAGAATTCGGAGGACTGGGGAAGAAAGTCTGATAGTCTTTTATCTAATGGCCGTGATCAGCCGTCTTATCACAACAACAGATTTCTTGAAGTGAAGTGGAATAATACCCGACCCTTTCCGCATCAAGCTGCTAGTCTTCCTGAAGGCAGAATAAAAACAAAACAAACAAAACACAGCGCCCTGTCCCAAGCTTTGAGACAGTGTGTCAAGCTAGCAAGCTTTAACACATCGAGGGCAAAAACACAGAATTTCTTGAGTAGAAATAGTGATTCTTCTATAGTCACTCGTGTTCAAAATTAATCAAAATAATCCGTAAAGGGGCTGGATCAATTAAAATTACCTACAATAAATTTCACATTTTTTCATATTTTATCATGGCCGATATTTACTGGGCATGCGCACTTTCCCAGAATGCGTCACGAAACCTCAACCGGATGTGGTTTACGTTGATGAAAGTCAACACGGTGGCTCGGTCTGTTACGAACCGGTACAAAATATACGCGGATCAAAACGTTTGTACGCCATGTTAATTGATCCTGAGACACGTTTGTCGAATACTTTGACGAACGTTGTGTAAACTATAGGTTTCTCCATCAGCACGTCTAGCAGTATCAATGGTTTATTCTTAATCAACGAAAAGTTTTTTAGTCACCATCAAGGTTATCGGAGGCACACCTGTAGCGTCTGACGGTGCCTTGAGAGAACCGCAGGCTTTGATTGTCACCTTGGCCTAGCGCTTCACTTTCTCGTTAGGCTACCTGTGATCATTCGAAGCCAGGCTCACCGACCTTTTTTTTTCAAACTGGGTCAGATAACAGAGAATTCTGAGCGCAGACTAGATTATTGTTTTGTCCTATATAATACACTGTCGTGTTTAATAAAAGATTTGTCACATTAGATGGACAAATGGGTGCACTATAATGTATTAGCTTAGCCTACATTTTATTATAAATAATGTAGTCTATAAAACAAAACCACTGGTAATTTCCATTACAAGGATCAAAGACACTGTTCTATTAATATGGCGATCAAATCCACAGACACCCCACAAAGACATCTTCCTTATTTTTTATCGTCCGTGCATTACAGTTACAGGGATATATTAATTTCAGCTTAGTAAATAACGTCTTCTTGGCTGCCATTTCTGGTTGATTCTGTTCTAAACCGAGTGTCACTGCTGTCCCTGGCACGAAGCAGCCTTGCTCTTTCTCAGATTTTTCAGTTCTTTTATTTGGCCTTGGGTGTGTCTATTGTATTTTTTTTTATTCACACAAATTCCATTAGTAAGTCACGCATTAAAATGTTTCGTGTCGCTCACTCTGTGGCCGGACGCCCTCCCCACCCCTGGCGTCGTTCCGGTGCACCACAGAGCGCGCCATTTGACTTTATCTGGAACCAAATGAGGGGCAAGATCGCTAAGCTCCTTGGGCAAGATGGATCAGTTGCACAAGCACTCAACAACAGTAGCGAGATATTTGGGTCTTGCCCTTCTTTTGCGTGTGCATGGTGTACACCAGTGCGGCAAAGTTTTTGTTTGTTTGTTGTTTTTTGCGTAGTTTTTTTGTTTGTTTGTTAGTTTGTTTGTTTGTTTGTCTAAAATATCGCCAGCAAACTGTTGAAATGTTGTAAACACAGAAGTCGGCCACAATTCAAGATAAAAACGTCCCACAAGGGAAACTCGTGTTCTGCCCTGTGTTCAGCTGGAATTCCATATGCCCGAAAATCCGATGTGAACTTCGGGTGCGAATCTCGTGTACGAAATTCGGGTGCGATGAAAAAAGAGCCCTCCTTCCATAGCGAAATTCATATCCGTAATTTCTGACTGAAATCACGGCACCAGTTCAGCCAGAGCAAGCACTCTACCTTGAAAGCGAGAGAATTTTGCTGTTAGAACTCCTGTTCCTACGAAACCAGGCTTTAAATTGCTTCGTCCAGACTTGATAAGGCCCTTCCTTCATAAGCTTTGCTTTCTTGGGTCGTTTTCTTTTCGAAGCTTCGGTCCTATCACTAACAGCGCTGGCTGATGTGGCTGCGGCACAGACAGCAATCTTAAGTTATAATTAATGTATGTTAGAAGTAATATGCAAGTGCATTAAAGGAGGGGAGGGGGTGGGGGGTAAGTGAAATGCTATTTTTGTTATTAGATGTTTTAAACGATAAATGATGGCATAGATAGATTACATTGACTCCCGAAAGTTTCCCACAAACTTTTAAAAAATGTGGTTGCCATGGAAATGGCAGCCACTTTGAAAATAACACCTCTTTTCAGTCTTAGTTTTAACACTTCTCTCTCGACCCTAGTGCTTCCATGCTGCTTCGTTCCTTTGAAGTAGATTTGGCGGGAAATGAGCCCCGCCCACTTCACGAAGAATTCGAGTGCTGAAAAAAAAAGTTTCGTTCCCTCGTGCGAAACAAAATCTTCGCATGCGAATTTCGGACTCGGCCATGCGAAATTCCGGTATATGGATTTACACAATGACAAAAAGGTTGGTGCGAAAAAAATAATTCGCACGCAAAATTCGCTCCCGAAATTCGCATCGGTTTTTCGGGCATATGGAATGTCAGCTTGCTCTTAGGCCTATCTGTTTTGGACCACGAAGGGATCTTTAACGTGCGCAACTTGCACACGAGACTTCCTAGATTTTTCGTCCTTGTCCGAGATGACTGCTGGGTGTAGATCTTTCCTACTAGAAGGTCAGGGGTGTGGCTGAAAGACAACGGTAAGAAGGAGCCAAGGAGTAGCAGTAGAAAGGCTGCAGAAAGAGTCAATGAGCCAGAGGAGGGGGCAAAGGAGGTGAGGGGGTGGGGGCAGAAAGTGGAGACGAAAGCAGACGACAGAATATTGCTAGAGAGTAGGAAAGGACGTGAAAGGAGGACAATTTTAGAGAAGAAATTGTTTCCGTCATTACGTCTCGGATTCGAACCCGGGACCTTTGAATGAAAGGCGGACACCTCAACCTCTTGGCCACGAGAGCCCCCAAATAAGGTCTTTGAATTGATGCTAGCTGAAAGTGGTGCAAACTTTACCCAGGATACAGCAAACACTGTAAGCCAAAAGTTTGACTTATTTTCATCAACACCAGTTTTCAACGCGCGCCTATGGCACACGGCCCAACACACGGGTGAGTACTTTTTTAGACGCACGTGGAGATGTCTAGACGGTATCGTGTGTGTGTGTGTGGGGGGGGGGGGGGGGTATACAAGCTGAATATTTAAATATGGGAGCAAAATGGTGAAGCTGTCTTGAAATTAACAATTAAAAGGCTAGGTTATTACTGTACCGTAAATCATTTATTGTAGTGATCCTGTGTATGTAGCCAAAGGGAATCTTAATATAGATCTGGCGTCCAAATTAAATTTTACAAAAACAACAAAACTTTTTCTGTTTGATTGGATTAAGGTTGTTTTTTTTAAAAACAATAATATTTTGGTTTGGTCTCTGATCAACAGGGGTACCATGCAAAGTTACTAGCGAAGTTATTTAAGCAGGGTATTGCAAACTAAAGTTCCGACACGTTTACTTTGATATGTTGACCTTTGAGCTAGTAATGAAAGTAAATGCAAACTATATTATGGTTTCGACACGTCTTCTTTTATTTTAACCTAAAATGGGTGGTAAAAGATTAAAATAACGGATTTATAGCATTCAACAAAAACATAAAATAAAAGGTGACATATTTTCCTCAACATCAAGGTACACTTTAACGCACGCACCCCTTAGAAACACGGTCCAACAGGGTGGGTAATTTTCGAGACTCGTGCAGAGACGTCTAGACAGTTGTGGTGAAGGAAATCTACGAGCTAACACTGAAATGTAGGGACAGGAACGAGTCACTGTTTCAAAATGAACAATTTTAAGGCTGGCATTTAATTCCTTTATTTTAATGACCCTGTGCAGGCACCCAAAGGGCGATTTAAAAAAAAATAGGGCCCAAAGAGAGATTTTTTTAATTTGCTGGATCAAATAGCTTATTATAATAATATATATATAGGCCCGATATAGGGCCCTGTATATTATATTAATTAATATTATATATATCTTGCTTTGGTAAATGTTTTACAGCGCCTGCAACTGCATAAGCCTATATTCATGTGAGCACGCAGGACACATCAAACATTTTCAGTTTGGTAGTAATTAATTGGCCGAAGCCCGAAGCCCACTCTTATCGATTTTAGCAACCATGACCAAGGGATTTTTAACGTGTGCATAACTTGCACACAGACCTCGGAGATTTTTGCGACATTATCAGAGAAGGGTTGGTGTTATATCTCACCCACCCTAAGACCAGGGGCGTGGCTGAAAGACAGCAGTAAGCACCGCATTTAAATCTAGTCCAAAAACACTTCTAATTTTTTAAAATCCCTATTTTAGGCCTACTGCTAGTTTTATTCTTCTGTACAACACGTCGTGATCATTAGCCACACTGATTGTCTTTTTGTGTACATGTATTTGTTCCAGTGGCGGTGGGTGGACCAAAATTTGGGTGGGGCTTAGGTTTCTTCCAGTTTTTTTTACCACCAAATAGCAAGCAATAAGAATTAAACAGTGATGATTTTTCTGTGCTCACGGTGAGCCACGGCAGTTTGAGAACCATTCAAACGAGAAGAGTTGCCTTTGTTTTCCATCTCTTTGTTCTTAGTTAAATTCTTGTTGATGGTGGGAATGAAACCGATTCAGCTCCAAATTTCCTCTAATTAGTTTTCGTGTGATGAAAAAGTTATAACTGTTAAATCTCAGCAGCACAAACACAAACTTACACACACAGCACTTCAAACATAATACTTCTATGAGCTGGATTAGGCCGTGTAGTCGAGAAAGTTGAACGCACCCAACAAAGAACCAATGAGCGCATAGGTATCTGTGTCAGTAGGGGAAAGTGTGTCGTAAACTTTCACCCCATTGTCAGGGCTAGGAGGGCGTGAGCCCTCGGTACAGTGCACAGAATTCTACACTCTAAGTGTAGAATTCTGTGGTACAGTGTTATTTTTCCCCAGTCTTCTACCTTTTTACAAGAAGAGTTTCATTAAGGACGGACTGTGGGAAAAGGGCTCATATTTGCTGAGCCCTAAAGACATTTGATTGGCTGCTGGGTTACTATTAAGTTGTAAGCGGGGACAACAGTGATTGGATAAGCGAGCAAGCCGCCAGGTTGATCGCTCTGTGTTCATTGCGTACGGTCATAACGGTTTCAACTGCTTATTTCATTATGGAGAAACTTTCGTTTACTTTGGGATAGAGTTGGGGGTGGTGGTTGGGGAGGGGGTAGGGGCTCAAGCCCGTGAGCCCTTCACTACCCACCGCCACTGATTTGTTCTTCATCAGATTTCTAGAGTGTGTGTTTGAAAGAATCGTACGCAGATCTACGTTGAATAAGCCAGACCCAAGCCATTATTACATGTGTATTGTGTACTTGTCGTGTATTTATGAAACGTTTATTTGAATCTTATTTTATTGTGAAGCGCTATAAAGAGCTACCAGGATCAGGGAGTGGGCGCTATAGAAGTGATTATTATTATTATTATTATTATTATTATTATTATTATTATTATTATTATTATTATTATTATTATTATTATTATTAAACTGTGTGGAACCTGGATCGATAACAACAACAAACTGTGTGGAACAAAAAAAAAATAAACAAAAAGAGAGCAGATAAATGGAGTATAATATGCACATCTCTGTTGAAAATGAGGCGTTAGCGAGAGTCAGAAGAAGAAAATTATGTGTTTAATATGTGTCTTTGTGTGTGTGTGTGAGAGAGAGAGAGAGAGAGAGAGAGAGAGAGAGAGAGAGAGAGAGAGAGAGAGAGAGAGAGAGAGAAAGAGAGAGAGAGCGAGAGAGAAAGAGAGAGAGAGAGAGCGAGAGAAAGAGAGAGAGAGAGAGAGAGAGAGAGAGAGAGAGAGAGAGAGAGAGAGAGAGAGAGAGAGAGAGAGAGAGAGAGAGAGAGAGAGAGAGAGAGAGAGAGATAGAGGGGGGGGGGATATTATTATTATTATTATTATTATTATTATTATTATTATTATTTTTATTATTATGATAGATGAATTATTATTAGCAATACAAATGAGCTAGAAGAATTTATTTATTTTTAACACAGACAAACGAAAGTAGGCAAGAGCCCTTCATGTACTGCTCGAACTGCCTGCTATCTAAAAGCTACACAGCTACAAGACAATCAGGAAGTAAATTGTGGGGGACTGGCCTGTTGCTCCTTACTTCTTTTTCTTTTTTTCGCATCTCTCAAGTTTTCTTCCTGGTTTAGATATTTGTGTGTTTGTGTCCAGACTTTCGAATATGGTTTAGATCTAGACCTTCACACATGATAATGACAGTAGATGCCCACTTCCTGGTTGGTACAAGAAGGCTTGCGTAGGCCAAGATAATTTAGTGTCTGAGTGAAATTGGTGTGTGTGTGTTTTTTTCGGACTGGACTTTTGACATCAACAGTTGGTCACAGATTAAGGTGTAAAGTTGTCTTCTTAGTCTTAGACATTCACTGTTGAAATTGGAGTCAGAAGAGAGAGATAGTGGATACATATTGAGAGCTAAACGAGGTGATTGTGGATGTTAAAGCACACAGATAGAGACGGATAAAAAAGAGTCTCCAAGCCTGCAGAATGTCGGCTTACAACGAAGCCATAAAGCGTGTATTGGCAGGTAATTACTCTCCTCTCATCTCAACATAAAATAATCTATTTATTATAGTCTAGTTTGTTTGTTTTTTGTTTTTTTGTTTTTTTAGTTAAGGTATCCATTGGGAACCTTCTTGACTTACTTAAGTTTAAGCTAACTTTGAAACTAGGCGATGTCCACATTGCAAACATCTCCATTTCTGTTAAAGACAGGTGGGTATTTAAAAAAAAATCAAATGTGAGTGAAATGCACACAAGCTTTAAGATGATAACAGTAGCTCTACATGCCCAAATATTGATCACACACACACACACACACACACACACACACACACACACACACACACACACACACACAC